TTGGGAATTCGTCACTACAATATTTCATCACTAGTAATCTGACTACATTTCATGCAATGAAGCAATGGTTGTAAATTTGTGCAGTTTACAGTGCTGCAAATGCTCTGTAACTTTGAGCGGCTTAAGTTTGTTTTTTTTTTAATAAGAGATACTATAATAAGAAGGCACAGACCTTTTGACCTTTGTAACAGGTTCACTCAACCCTACAACGGAAAGGCAGAACGTTCTTAAGAGGGACAAGAATTGCTGAAACAAAGGTTAACCTTCATGCTTTATTTTACAGGCAAACATTTATTACACTGCAAGAGCTATATGCATATCAGGTTATTTTTGTGCCCTGAATACACAAATGCAAAGTTTCTTGTCTAGAAGAAACCTTCAGAATTATTTCTTTCTTCATTTTCCTGGAGGTGAGGATTACAAGGGGGAAGATTGCCAGGAAGTCTTAAGTGTCTTACAGCTACAGAAATGCAATCCATTTCTGTGTCTTAAATAATTCACTGTGTCACAATTTCAATGCTGAATACACAATATTCAGAAATACAAAGTACAAAATATGAAGTTAAAATATAGAAGAGTTTGTCATGTTACCAGAGCCTTAGAATAATTTGCTCCCCCAGGTGAACATGCTTACAGCATTCGTTATCTGGTATAATAAAGCAGTGGTACATGTCTCAGCTGCTATGTTTTTGTAACAGTTTCATAAGGCTCTACTAATGAATCATGTTTTTGTTTACAAATATTTGCCACTGTGACAGATACTTCGAGAACCTTTGATAAGAAAAAGACACTTGCCACCTATTGGCTAAATCCATAAGGAAACAAAGAACAAACTGTCAAGCAAACATAATGGATTTAATAGGAAATACATACTGTAACACAAGTAAAAGCAAGGCAAGAAAGTAGTAGTGAACCTATCTATGTGGCAGGGTTACAGCATATCCAAGTGCAACAGCTGGATGGAGTATCACACAAGTAAAGGGCATGACAGAGTGGTCTGTATCCTCCCACACTGGAACAAGTAACAGGTGCTTTGTTCAGTAATACTCATGAAAAAATTAAACAGAAATGAAGCAAGAAAACCCCCATCCTTATTAAAGAAGAGCATCTTCACTAAGGTAATCACCAATCCTTGAATAAAATTCACTGTTAGTGTTTAAACAAAAAATTTAAGAACCCAAACCTGTAAGATGATACAGTGGGAAAACAACATTGTTTTTTCTAAGAAGTCTTCATTCTTGAATGAGAGCAGTTTCACTAAATGCTGTCTCAATTTTTTGGAGACAAATTATCCTCCTACCTTGATTTTTCATGTAAAATAGGAAGCACCAAATAACTCTACACCACTAAAACTTCCTAAGTATTTTTAGATGGCTCTTTATAGCACATATACACTAACAACACTATGTTAAAAATTCAGAGTGGGGAGGGAAAAGTAGGAAGAGGAAGGAGGAAAAAGCTGACCCTAGGATAATTTTGACATGTAACAGACTAAGCCCATCAATTCTCTTGGGTTTCAAGATAGTCATATGCCTTGAAATATTTGTTATCTGACACTTTATGGATAAAGTTTGGTAATGCACAATTTTTCCAAGTCATGCATTTTTTATTCTAGCTCACCAAGAAAAGGTTTGCAATCAAACTTAAGACCTCCAAAATATCAAAGGAATGCTCCATAAATGAGCATTGGTGTCAGAAGGCTTAATTTTAGGGAAATATGTTTTGGCACCTGAATTCTTGTAGAAGAAACAAATATGTGGTTTCAAGCATATTTCTTTTGACAAGCTTGAGCCAAATGACTCTGAAAACAACAGCTAACATGACTTGTTTAATACTAAAACCTATACTTCTATCTTAGATTGATAATTCACACCAACATCCTATGTCTACAAATCTTCTTTTGAGAATTTAGAGCAGATTTTTTAGAAGCTTAGTTCTAAGCACCCAGTTCTCCTGCTCCAAGTAACTGACTTATGACACACAAACAGCCACAGGGCTCTCTGTTACATGACTTCCAGCTAAATAAGTTAAGAAAGTTTGTCCTTCTCTCCTGTACATGAACAGAAGAAGCCTCTTTTTTAAAGGTTTAAAGTGTTTAATAGAGTGTTTAATACATGAAGCTTTTAGAAAATGCATAGGCAGTGTAGAAGTTTAAGTCAGTGAATTATTCAGATTCTCATGTTGGACATTATTTTTTTTCCTACTTCTATGTCGATATTGCTGTTTGTAAGTGAGGTTTGCAACAGGGTGACTAGCTACACAGTTCAGACAGCTTCTGTCCTGTAAATCATCAATTCCCAAGATAGTCTTTGCAGATTGCTGACACAGCATGCCACAAATAAACTACACAATCCTTCATAAACATTATAGACTGTTTCACAAGAAAGTCATTCAAACATCACGTATACAGCTTCCCTTTCCAACTAATACTCAATGTTAAGTGATATTACAGCATTAACATAACAATAAATGTTATTGAGGCCAACCTCTAAACCTTTCAAGTCACCCACCCTGAATTTATTATTTTTTTTTTTAACTAAAATGAAGATTTAACAAAAAATATAGACTGTTCCCAATACATCCCACACCTCTCAACCAGGTTAAAGGATTAGACTTCCAAATGAGTAAGTAGGCATTGTCTTGTCTCCTCTTACTCTCTTCTCAGGCATGTAAATAATCATTCTTGAGCAGGCTGGCAGCATTAAACTAGTATCAGTACACCAAACCATGAAAGACTCAAGTCTGCATAAAATGCTGCTCTGACCTATTAACTGTCTGATCCTGTAGCACTTCAAGGAAGTGTCTCAATGGTGTCAGTATGGATTTGAAGTGCAATGATTTCTTTTGATTCAACATGGATGAAGTAAATTAAGTCTTTATTTTCTTGGCAACAGCAAAAGTTGTTAGAATTGTCTTACAACTTTTCAAAGCACCTATTAAATTTTTCAGTAGTTTGACCACTAGATGTTTCTGTTATTAAACAGAAGCTTCCAGATCTCACTCAATTAGGCATTTAGTATGCCAGTTTTCAGCATGTACATAAAATACACTACAAAACTCCCTTCAACACAGATCAAGAGCCTGGCAAGTCAGCCAAGAGATTATTGACATTTAGAGGGTTAGATGAAGACACTCCCCAAAACTTGGGGAGCATGTTTAAGTTGCTCCAAAGCTTAAGAACTAATCATTTATCAAACAATCTTTTTGCACAGGTCTGAACTTCCATGAGAAAGAACTGGTGTTGGTTAGAAACCAAAATAGTAATATTTTGTCAGTTAAAAAATCCTATGGATCAATATGACATGCACCTCAGTACATTTTTACATACATGATACTTCACTCTTCCAAACCTGTTTTGCAGCAATTAATTCCCTTTGGGAGTATCTGAAAGTCTAGTCTTTATGACGAGCCCCATTCATTAAACAAAAAGTCACAGTGGAATAACTTCAGTTCAGAGGTTTTTTAGCAACTTCTTAACAGAAAAAATCTTAGTAAAAATTTAGCTGGAATAGCACTTCAAACACTCAAATGTATCTCCAAATAGAAAAGATGTGTTAGGACAATATATAACCAATTTCAGTACGTCTAGAGCAAGATGAAAATGGATGGCCTGCCAAATTATTAATACAGAAGAAACTATTTTTCTCCAACAAAAATGAAACAATGAACATGTGCATCTCATCCAGGGAAGACTGCATTCCAGCTGTCAACTGATCAATAAACAGTTATCTTGGCTCAAAAGAACTTACATCAATACTCTAGTCATTAAAGAGGTATATGTTAAAAAGCAGCCTCACTTCAGTATTTGTAGTTTGGACAATCTGAAACACTGGCTATCTCCATGTTTTCATGAACTGCAACTGTTCTCATTAATTCAGGATCAGAACTGCAAAAAACTATGAAGTATGCTGGCATTCCACCCAGACTGGTAACAAAACAAGAGAGTCTGAGCCCATAAGACTTAGCTACATTTGAGAAGGGCCAGATTGTTGCTGCTTCTTTAGTGTTTTGGGGTGCAAATGGCTTCTTTGTTTTTAAAATCAAATTTTGGCATAGAGCAAGAATAGATCAGAAAGTAAGTTCATAAAGATTTGCTCAGGTATATGGATGTCTCCCATGACTGGAGAGAGCTACAATAGTTTCAATACTTGCCTAGAGTTCACTATTTCCTTCTCAAGTCAATAAATCTTGGATAAATACTATTAAACCGTTTTTGTTATCTCACTGAAAAACAGATTTAAACTCCATTTATATCACTTGCTCACTCTTCTTTCTTTAATAAATATATTTCTATTAAGCATTTTGTAGAAGAATTACAGTTTCTCTTGGTAATTTATTTGCTTTGAACAATAGAAAAAAGGTATCATAGATCAGGCTGAACACCCAACAAATCTGTTTCTACTAGGAGATACTTTGTTAAGGAGCAATGCTTCAAAGGGGCTTCAAACAGCCTTCCTTTGATGAAGATACACTTCTTGGGCTCTCTATAAGCATGTAGTCTGTAAAAATGTGCAAAGGAGCATAATTGACAATGCAGGGTAAGTAAAAGGTGTGATAGAAATCACCAAGTAGCCACCAAATTTCAATAAAACATACTGATGTATTCAAAACCTCACTGTAACGGTTCAGCTGCTTTGCTCCAGCATAACTCTAAGGAATTTTCACTAATACAAACTAATCTGAACTGTAAGTCCTTTCACGTAGTGCAGAATTTCCTACACTCCCTTCAGAGAAAGTACTTGAGATGATAGAAAACCAGATGACAAAGAAAGAATAATCATCATGATGATCTCATTTTGATACTAAAGCTAAACAGCACATTTTCATGTACACTCAAGTCTATTAAGCTCTTTTTCTTCCAAAGTATGAAGTCTCTCACTAGTGCTGGTAGGAACCAAAAGGTAAAAATAAATAAAATAGCACAAGTGGGTATGGTCAACCTATAGTTTAATTGAAAGTGTACAAAAAACAATGCAGAATAAGCTCAAGGCTGATTTGCTAAAAACCCTCAGATAAAAAAAGCCCAGGAACCAAGAGGTAACGATCTACATTACCATGTCTTAAGGTTACTTCCTATTTGTGTTTTTGTGCCCAAAACAGAAAAAACTGGGTGCACCACAGATGAAAGCTTGTTCAACAGACAGACCTCATGCTGCACCAACAGCATTCTCTATTGGCCCTTTCAAATGAGGCTGAAAGAGAAAGAATTTCAGTCTGCCTCTGGATGAACTCACAGTGCTAATACCTAAAATGCAGGAGAAAACCTGATGGAGATACCCCAGGAGTTTATCCATAGGTGTGGAATGGAAGGAGTGTGTAAGACTGCATTATTTTTTACTGTTTTTACATAATTTATAATACTTTAAACACTGGTCTCATAAATACAATATGAACACTTTACACATGCCAAGCAATTAAAAGCTTTCCCCAAAACCTTTTAGGTCATACCAGAACCACTGGTAGCACCTGTTTACAGCATCTGTTTTTAGTCAGTAACCACTTAATAGTCAACTACAGCTAGGTTTTCTTCAACCAACACCTTAATATTAAAAATCTTGTAGGAATGAAAGGATGCATAAGCCTATCAGTCTGCCTTAAAGTGATTAAAGTCAGCATTAAAAACAAGATTGTCTGTGGTTTAAGTTCTGTTGCTTGTGTCCCCACCCCTGGCGCATATCATCTTTAAATAAAAAGTGCAAATGGGATTTGGAGACTGGATGGACTAATTTGCCTATTATTTGCCTTCAGTTGCTTCTTCTGTAGCCACGTCACCTCAACAGCTTCATCGTACTTTCGATAAGCTACATTAAATTTAAAATAAGGCTCACTGAAGAAAAGGAAGCAACTAACTTCCAGATTTATCCCACCCTTAAGTCCCACAAAAGTGCTCATTTCCCTTTTAACAAAAAAACCCCGATAAAATCTTGATTACAAAACTATTAAACATTTCAGTTCTACCATCCATAGTCACCTTCCTTTCAAGCAAGGCCAAAAAAGCGATGATGGATTCCCTTTGAATGCAAGAGAGATTACACTTCTTGTAAGTAAACAGGCTGACATTACTATTGCAGTATTTTCTGCAAGTGTACAGATGTCAGATGGACTGGTCCATTTTTGTGGGACCTTGGGTGTATGAAACACCAGCAGATAAAGATCTAAGACTGATAATATAAACCCAACATGAACTATTAACTTCCAAGACCACCTACTGTATAAACAAGTCTGATTTTCTAAGGGATCAGTCAACAGCAGCTGCGCTTCGTCACTGATGGCTGTCTCCTAAGTTTGAAGCCCTTACCACTAGATGGGGGGTTGGTGTCAGTTGATGGAATTCTGCGACCTACAAGGAAGCAGAAACAAAATAAATTAAAGCAAACATTCACTTGAAACCAATTCTAAGCATTCAGTACATTTTATATACAAAAATGTGTCTTCAGTTAGTCACATGTCATTAACGACAACAATCCTGCAAAACAGAAGGATGGCAGTGAAGCTACACTCTGTCTGTAAGAAGTAATGCTTCTACAAACAAAGCAGCAGTTTTAAGCTAATTTTGCAACATTTACACTTCAGGCTTATCTAGACTTGGAGAGCTAAGCTATAAAAGCACCCAGAGAATATACTCTGCAGGAGCCAATACCAACTGGAATATCTTCAGCAAGAACGATCATCTTAACCTGTATTTCTAGAACAGAGCACCTGCAACAGGCCTAGCACTGAAGTGCTTGTAAAGATAGCTGCTTTAGTAATCTAATTAGTCTTTAGAATTGATTACTCCTTGTTAAGTATTCTTTTCTGAGGAGAATTTGTGGTTGTTTTTTTTTCCCATAGTTTATTCAAGATGAATTTTAAAGAGCAACAATTAAAGTCAGTAAACCAGGAAGCTAATCTACAACAAATACTTGTTACATCCACTTCAATATATTCAACTGCTTATAAGGACCCTATTTTTTTTTCTTTAAGTCGAAAGCTTCTGTAGCTATTCAAAACAGAATTGCTGTGCACACATACACACAAGTGAATTACTGTTTGTCCTCTCCACAAACAGGCTGACATACCTGCACATTGGTGCTACTTCCTGAAACACACCCGGCAAATAATAGTGCATGGAATTCACTTTGCAATACTGTCTGCTTTTCATTCATGCAAAAAATTGCACTATCATCTTCATCATAAGACAGAAAAGATTTGCAATTTAATTTAGAAAACCCAAGGTATCACAAAAATACTTGTGCAATATCTACACAAAATAGTTTGTATTTTCTAAGCAGTAATCTCGCATTCATGAATTCTTGTCTTTTTGAAAGGGCCCTGGTTTAGACTAAGCACAAACACTAAGAGCAAGAACTTAATCCATTTTCTCAGCTATATAAAGATTGGATCTTCCCCATGCAGTTTATTTTCCATTCCATGACCTTGGAAGCACTAATTAAAACATTCAATAACAGATACAGTAAGATGACACTGACTTCTGACATGAGTGCCCTGCTTGCTATTTATCCAGCAGCATCACAGTAGGCTTAAAGTCTCTAGCAGGAATATTTAGAGGTCATAAGATGACCAAAATTTGTATGGCTCTTTTTGCAGTTTCTACTCATGTCCGATTTTAACAAATTTGTCAGTATACTCCCACCTAAGCAGCACAAAAACAAATACATTAATCACACTTCTACTTGAACTTCTTTCAGAAGAAATTACATTAGCTGTTTAAATACTTACTAATTTCTATAAAGAGTTCATTAATGTTTATTGCATTTTTCGCACTTGTCTCTACAAATATTGCATGAATGGAATCTGCATAGTCTTTAGCATCTTTTTCCATGACTTCTCTAGAAAAACAAAGCAGAGAAAAAACTGAATGCAAACACCCACATTATTCAAAATCTTATATATTAAGCTTTTAAGTGTCCCATTAAATTACTACTTTGTATTTTACCTGTTTGGCATCACAGTGCTCCCTCATCTTGAGGCTGATGCTCATTCTTTACTCTATGCTGCCTCCCTGCCTTGAGGGATGAGCATCACTAAAGCACAGCTATCAACTACACAAGGCCTTAATCTGTGAGACAACATTACAGTGGAGCTTGTTTCTTGAGCACTCTAAGCATAGGTCTGCAATCATCAGGGACTGCTTCATTCTCCACCCAGTTTTAGATGTACTGAAAAGATCCCAAAGCATTAGTTCTACTAATCCAGTGGATTTCCTACAGCTGTTTACAAAATCAAGCATCTCACAACACAGCACTATCTACTAATATATGATTAGTACAGCATTTGCTTTACATGAAGCATGAAGACATAGCTATTCTCAGGAAAATATTTACACTAAGCACAGAACAACAGCACCACGAAGTGAAAAAGTTATTCTGCACCCCCAAGAAGGCAAGATATGGAAGTCTGCTTCCTCAAACAATGTGAAAAAAACAAACCCCGGCAGAGGTGGAAAGAGGACTGGACTATACATTGTATCACCTTACACACAATTTCTAGAAAAAAACATGGGCTACTTTCAGCAACAGGGGACTTAGAATATCAAAAGCAGAGACTGTGAATCAGACTCAAATACTGCCTCTGACTAAAGTATGAGGAATCTTGCCCATCAGCTGGGATAGCAATGTTTACATAATTTATGATGCCATCTAAGCATCAAAAAATATTCATGTAAAGCTTAATACTGCATACCTTATATTTGTCTTCAAAATAATTTTATGTCATATTTTCTTCAAGACATGCTGCTTCTAAGAGAAGTTGTAGGAGCTTACTACATAACTCCTATGTACAAACAATTTGTAAAACTATACTAAAACCCAATTTTGCAGTGTTTCTCTAAATGCATAACCATCTGTCTCCTTTGTGACACCAGCTGTGGTAACTTTTCCAATGAGATCTAAAACCAAAAAGTTTGCACACACCTTCTGAATTTTGGCTTATTTAAGCAGGACATCAACAAAAAAGGGAGTTACTTTGGTTTTAGTACATGCCTTTTTGAAAGTTTGGCTGTTCATAAAATTTCTCAAGAACTTTTCTCACTCCCTGCAACTATTTCAGCCACAGCCAATTCCACTCCAATATTTAAGCAGGGAAGGAAGGCACCTGAATAAGCAAGTCAGAAAAACCCACACAATGCTTTCCAACAGGCTTAAGGTTTTTCCCCAACAAAATGAGGTGCTATAGACTGACAGGGGTACTTCTTACAAAGTGAGGTAAACAGCTTGTATTACACTGTAGTTTCACAGGCAGTTTAGGCTTGTGCAACTTGGCACTGCCATCAGAAAAGGTTAACCCTGCCTCCCTGTAAACTGGTCCTTCCTAACCCTGCTTTCCCACTTCTGTCATGCCAGCAAGTGTTAAGGGTATGAGCAAGACAAATACACTTGGATCAGTTTTCCTTTTTTAAATGGTTAGTTTTAATATGGATCCATTTTATAGCCTGATTTACTGGCAAGACTGTCCAAGTACGGACTAACCAAATCTTCTGACAGTAGTAACCCATTTGACTCCTTGTGAAACTGCAATGCTAGTGCAAAACAGCTTAAATTGCTCTGTACCTTTCACCTGCTCTGAAACCTTAAATATTTAACATTACAAACTTCAGTGAAAACCTCAAAACTGTCAACAGTTATTTACCTTACATCATTAAGATCACACTTATTTCCTGCAATAGCTACAACAATGTTTGGAGGTCCATGCTGTCGAAGCTCTTTAACCCAGTTCTTTAATGTTGAGAAAGTTTCCTGATGTGGAAAAAGAAAAAAAAAAACAAACAACAACAGAAGGAATTAAGTGTCAGAACTGGGCCATAACACACAAAAAAGAGAAATCTTAATGCTGGGTTAAGATTAAATTTCTTACCTCTTTTGTGATGTCGTACACTATAATGGCTGCTGCTGACCCTCTGTAATACATTGGGGCTAAAGCACGAAACTGAAAGAAAGAGCATACACTATCAACCTGATCTTCCACTGACCCCATGATTTCCTTAATATCATTAGTATTGAAGAAAGCTAGCTTCAAAGCTCTCATTAGTGGAAAACTTTTTTTTACCATTCTAGAGAGGCTGTGCAGCAGAGCACACAAAATTCTGTGAAAGTACTGTTTTGCAAAGTCAAATCAACAAGTAGTTCAGGGATTAGCAGCACATTCAGTGAAAACCTCAAAACTGTCAACAGTTATTTACCTTACATCATTAAGATCACACTTATTTCCTGCAATAGCTACAACAATGTTTGGAGGTCCATGCTGTCGAAGCTCTTTAACCCAGTTCTTTAATGTTGAGAAATTTCCTGATGTGGAAAAAGAAAAAAAAAAACAAACAACAACAGAAGGAATTAAGTGTCAGAACTGGGCCATAACACAAAAAAAAGAGAAATCTTAATGCTGGGTTAAGATTAAATTTCTTACCTCTTTTGTGATGTCGTACACTATAATGGCTGCTGCTGACCCTCTGTAATACATTGGGGCTAAAGCACGAAACTGAAAGAAAGAGCATACACTATCAACCTGATCTTCCACTGACCCCATGATTTCCTTAATATCATTAGTATTGAAGAAAGCTAGCTTCAAAGCTCTCATTAGTGGAAAACTTTTTTTTACCATTCTAGAGAGGCTGTGCAGCAGAGCACACAAAATTCTGTGAAAGTACTGTTTTGCAAAGTCAAATCAACAAGTAGTTCAGGGATTAGCAGCACACCTGTTGCACAAAGCAGGAAGCCAAACTTGACCTTACTTTGACTAGATTAGAATCTCTCATTTAAAAGACTGTAGATTATTCACAGACAGAGACCTGCAGGATATAAGCTCAACCTTGAACTCTGAGTAAGGAGAAAATAGTCAGAATTGAACAGTTCAAGATACAAAAGGTAGTTTCAAGAAAAGTAGCATATATTACTGCTGACCTGTCATGTCCAGAAGTTGGTGTCAACCTCTAGCTCAACAGATCAGTCATGGCACTTTTAAAAGCTAGAAATGTTGATTTCTTCATAATCTAACTTATGGCTTTAGGGATTTTGCTTAATTTTTTCCTCAACATTTGAAAGTTGGAAGGATAATTAAATCTAAGAGCTGCAAAAGCCCACAGTTACATGACCTGTTGCAAACAGAGCTTTAAGGAACATGCTAGATAGTAAAAGGCTACAGTAATTTTATTGTAATTTTTAGAATGAAATTTACAGCAGCATATTTGGTTGGTAGTGCATTTGCAGGACATAAACCAGGCCTACAGCTTTGTATAGGCTCAGTGTTATGAATCCAGGACTGAAAAAATGATAAAGCACATGATTTCATTGCATCAAAAAATACCAATTGAGCATTGTTTAAACCAGCGTGATTTTCTGGTAACTTAAAAAGAAGCAACCAAAACTCTCAGTCAAAGCACACATTGAACTGTGTAAGGTTTGATGTAAGCATGTGTGATTTAGAGCTTTTGTGCATCTTATTACTCAGGGTAAAAATCATTAATAGAACACAGTTTTTTGTTAAGGCTTATTTGGTTCTAATAAAATACCAATTTCCTTTTACTTAGTACAGTTCAACTGAGAGCAATATTACAAATCATAAAAACCTTGCTATAAAGCAGAATTCCAAACCATTTACATTTGGCTCTCAAATTCTGTTTTGAAAACATGATTTTGAACAAAAAGTTTAGAATATAAAAATATTTAATAGTGGGAAAGAGAAAAATGGAGAGGCATTCAGTTCATGATGGACCATAACTCCTCTCTTCCTCCTAAGCACTAAAATGTAAAGGAAAACATATTTGGTAAACCACCACTTGGACTGGTTGCAACCTGGCTTTTTGATTATTAGACTGTTTACATTGGGAATAAACCAACTTTCACTTGCTGATTTTGTACTACTCTCATTTCCTGCCTGCTAACACTTAGATACTTTTTTCCACCTTAGAAAAGTCAGCAGATAAAATACATTAACAAAACAGATGTTACTATAGACGCTGAATTTTCCTTTTGTTATTTGTTCCAAAGATTTCAGCTTGCCCTCTAGCCTCTGAGCTGTGTTTTGTCAGAATCATTGACAATGTAATTACACAGAGAAACTGTCACAATTGTTAGGTGAAAAGGCAAAAATTCTGATTGCTCTAAGTGTTCTCCTATCCACTTTACTTGGTGTAAAAGAAGTAAGACACGTGTATAGGGAAATGAGATGTGAAGCGAAGTAGTGCACATTTTCATCTCTGGAGGGAAAATAACCAGCCATTCCCTGAAGCCATCTAGAACAAGGGGTTGCCCAGTGTAGAGCAGAACTACGCACTGCTGGGCTTTTGAAATGGAAAATAGCAAATGCTCCTCAAGAAGCCAGGACTATGATTTTTGTGCATTACACATCATAGCTCAGCAGAAACATCTGAGTTCCAAGAATGGTGTAGATATTTTTGGTATTCCAGGTAACTAGGGACGGGATCCCTTTGATAATTCATGGTTGTTGCACAACCAGAAATCTGTGCTACAAATTTCAGGGCAAGGCAGGTCTATAGACCATTAAGTGACTAGCAGCAAGTCTAGGACTGTTATGTTTTGGAGAAATAAGTATCTATAAAGATATTGGCATAGTTTCAAAGCAAATATCCTTGCTCTCGTATTTCGCTGGTTTCCTTGGATATATTTGGTCCCTACAGTGTTTTCTCTCAGGTGTGGAGAATAAGCTTCACAGGTATCCCAGTTGCTGGGTCAGAGCCTAGGCAAGGAATCTCTCCTTTTATGATTTCAGTAAAAATATCAGGCAACTTATATGTAAGAAAATTAGAGGTATCACTCAAGTCTAAAGAAGACAGGAAAGGAACACACTACTAATATACAGATAGGCTTCCTCAAGATTGTAGTGTGCTGAATCCAAAACAGGGTGTTCTCCCATTGCTTACAAACACAGTTAAAGTCAACAGGATGGGATGCTAATATGGATGTTTCCTGCCAGTTGTAGCAGGCATGTTTTTAAAACTTTCCATTTAAAGAGTACTAGCCTCTCAAAATTCATCCTCTGCCTCACAGAAGACTCACATTCTAACATTAACAATTCAGAATGGGCTAGGATGCTCATTTAAGACAAACTGTGACAGCAAATGCTGACTGACTGCTAGTAATGGAAGGACTTGGGACACTTCTGATAAGATGGATACTACTGGACATAACCCTGGGACACATCCCAGACAACATAAGTTTGCTTTATATAGTGCTGCTGGATGGAAATGAATCGTCAATCAAAATCCAGAGCACCAAAATGCAATACAAATACATTTGAGTAACTTTCTAGCTGCATTTAGCCAGTTATTAGCCTAATTTAATGATCCAACCTCATCAAACTGACTGGGGACAGCTGTGGTGTCTACACCTTTGTTACAGTTAGCTCCCATCCTAGATAAACTCATCATGAGTAATTGTTATAGTCAAGAAACTGCAAGATGAAGCACTGTTAATACAGCTAATGTAATTTTTATCATGGTTACGAGGAATCCATAGACAAGCAAGTTAAACAGCAAGCAAAGTTTTTCTTTTAAATTCTAAGTAAAAATAATGCAAATTAACTGCAGTTTAATTTGATTTTATTTATAGTCATTTTCTTGAAAGCTTTTGTTGCCTTCCCTCAGAACTATGCATGCTGCAAAGATCAAAATCCTAAACTATCAAATATTTAAATTTCAAAATAAATTTCTTGACATAGCTTCTAACACTATAAGATCTGAGAAGTAAAACTTTACAAGATCATTTATCACCCATGATGCTACATGAAAAAGCCTGAACTAACATCCTACTCACACTAATAAACCTAACACTGAAGCTAACAGAGTATGTCCAGAATTAGGGCCTTAGTTGTACTATGAAAAACTGTAATTCATTTTATTTTGATTCTCGTGTTGCCAGTTGCACTGGCTGCAAATACTGCAGAAGAGTATTTAAAACTAAACTAGAAATGGTACTAAAGACAGCTGCTGGCTTCCTCCCCACTGTTGGGTTTTGAAATGGCACTCTCTCTCACTTAACTTAAACCCCTCATTTGTTTTAGAAGTTCCTCTTCTTAGGTAATTGGCCTCAACGTTGTACTGTCACCATAGCAACGAAAAATAGAACTGTATGCACAGCATCTGTATCTTGATGGAAATCTGCACAGAAATGTTCTAATAGGTGTTTGTAAAATCAGATCCCATTGTGACTTTCAGGGGCAATGCTGAAGAGCAACCCAAACTCTAGCAAGAACTATCACTACAGATATTTATTCTACTTACCCGCTCCTGTCCAGCTGTATCCCAAATTAGGAATTTATGCAGCTCATTTTGATACTGTACAGTCTTGGTCATAAATGAAGCTCTGAAAAAAATTACAGTTTATGCTTTTCAGAATATGAACACATTTTTTAGAACATAGCTACCATGAACTTTAAAAAATATTTACATTTCAATAGAAGTACTTCCCACCCTCCACACCAACCTGACAAACACAAAGATACCATCATTGTTTTAAGCATATAAGATCTTATGATCCTGCTCAATACCTGTCCCCTGAAAATACTGCAGAATTCCAAACTTCTTCTACTGTCAGTTTTGGACAGGATGAAGGATAGGATCCTGGAGGTGGCCTGTACTGGAGTTTCTTACACAGCACTAAGCTCGCTGTAGATTCAGTTAGAGAGCAAGAGTCCTTCAGCATGACCAACAACATGAAATACTTGAGTCAAAGACTCAGAATTTCAGTTTATCTTGGATCTTAAGCACCACTAGGGCATAGATTTTCATGATGTCCATAACACTTCTGTAGTTGATATAATTGGAGTCTTTAAACATGTTTCAATGTTAATAGGAGGAAAAAACAGCTACACTTGAAAAAAGGAAAGACAGCAAATACACAATGCTTTAAACTGTTAGGGTAACCTTCTCCCCATTCTTTAAGCTCAGATGGTTTGCCAAATAGCACATCAATCTCCAAAGTTGATTCTCTTTTAAGATGCTAAATGTGAGACCACAGCATCCCTAGGACCCTATGTACTTCCCACAGAATATCTTGCAATCAGATACCAGTATTTACAGCTGAAAAAAGAGGTGGGAGGTGTAAGCTTTGTTCATAACTTGGGACTCCTAGCAGGATTTTGCTAGCTGAGATTAACAATACAAAATGGGTCCAGTTCTTAAACATGAAAATGGAAGTGCCAAATACAGTCCTACATTTCCTAAGGTAGTTCATGAGCTAAATAATACTGCGATCATGTTTATTATCACATTTAGCTGCCACACATGAAGAATCCTCACATGATCTACGCAGGAGGTACAAACATATATACATGCAATTTGGTTTCATTCTTGAGTAAGTCACATTTACTTTATTTAGTTTCTTACCCTATTGTTGGGTTGATATTGGGATCAAAGCTATCTTCTACAAATCTCCACACAATACTTGATTTGCCCACACCAGTGTCCTAAAAATAAGGACAAAAACAGTTAAAAGAAACATTAGTTACTATAAAGAGATTATTCTTTTTATCCTCAAATCTTGCAATACACTGTACATGACTAACACGTTCCTGCAGACAATCTCAGAGAAGTTAGATTCTGAAAGACTTCAGGTATTGTACTAATACAGTAGAAAAATTTAGTGCCTCTGATAAGTGTTAAAGATGTTTTTATAAAGGACTACAAATCTGCATTTGTGATTATCAGTTATTGAAACTTTTTTATCTTTTTTTTTTTTTTTTTTTTTTCCAAAGCTATGCACAAT